GCGCGTTATAATGTGACGGTCAATCCCACTATTCGTTGGTAAAAGAGTAGCCTAAGAGTTGGCGGTGGGTAGTGATAACTATTTGTCTTCCCTCTAGTCTTTCATTACTAAATTAAGGACGGCTAGCGCAGATAGCCCTCATGTAGCTTTGCGCGAAATTCCAACCAAACCAAACTGTCCTAAGTTGTGAGATCGTCATCAGAAATCGATAAAGGTTGCATGTATAACAATAACATATTAGTGTTGAATATTGTTCAAGCAATATAAAATAAGTAAATTAACAGAAAAGTGATTGTATGATAACGATATACTTATTTTACCCTGTCGTATATCAAGCTTCTACCTTATCGTCTATACTGCATAACAAACTATTCCACTCTTTGCTCTAAATACTCACTTTTTACCGTAACTTTATAAAGTTCTAATACATGTATCGAAAATTTTCCTAAAGGTCAGTTATTGAGAGGCAAATACACGATAGATTTGCCCAACCTGCTAATAGTTGACGTCAGAAGTTTATTACGACGCAAGTTGTATCATTCCATGTAGGTATATCATAATTAAAACCATACAGAGTTATTTGATCTGTTCGTTTAGATTGCACTTTTTCTGTTTCGTGAACAGCTTCATTAACTTTGATTTTCGCAACTAATTCACTACAGTTGCATGGATTCAGACGTCGATCCTATCTAGTAAAAATCAGCTATACAAAAAACAGCCAAGCACTGTGACCAGAAAAACGTTTTTGATTCGTCAGCTTCGTATAAGGGTGAGTTCCAAAATATTTTTCTCAGATAGTGCACCGAAATTACTAGTTCATTGATATTATTTCACGCTTGGAAATTTTTGTTCAAGTTTGTTTATTCCTCGGACTTCATTCCTCAAAAATAGTTTAATCACCACGTAAGAGTTGAGTTAATTCATTTATGTCAAATAATTTATAACAGGAAAACTGTAAAGGCTTTCAACTAGATGATTGCGAATCCAAGAAACCAAGTTCTCACAGTTTTGGTAATGGGTCATCACATACGACTTACAGTACTCTTCAGAGAAGCACTGATTATATTGTTGGAAGAAAAACATTAAAACTAGCTTTTTTTTTCTTTCGTAATCCTTTCTTACCCTCCGAGTAGTTTTCATCTGAAACTCAGACATACAGTTTGTGCGAAGCTAATTCCATTCGCTTGAAAATCTGCTATTTATGAATGACTGTTGTGCGGGTTAAACTAGCACCATAGCACGCACCCCCTTTGTGGATTACGAAGTGTGAGAAAAGTTAACCATGCGTAGCAAGTGTATTAATCAGGAGTAGGTTTAAGTACAACATCACTAGTTAGTCCATGTCTCTCACAGGAATTTCACACATTCCTTGATAACCGGAATGAACTTTTGTTCATTTTTATACTGGAACATAAGTTACAAAACAGACAGACTGAGAAAGAAAAAAAAAAGGAATCTAAGTAGAGGGAGAAATGGAAGAAAAAAATTATCTGACATTTTGTTGGCAGTGAGTTGGATATGAAGAAGGAAGTGAAAATTGAAAGGTAACGATAGATAAGGAAAGTTTGTTCATAGTAATTCAATTTTCATTATATATTACTATGAACAAAACTGATTAAAGCTATATCTATTGTTCATAAAACTATTATTATTCCTGCTCTTGTGTTTGTGGCCAAAAAAAGGTGTGTCATCTAAACAGTTTTTCAACAGCAGTCTGTGTGTCTCCAAACCTGGCATGTACCTTTAGGACCCCACTGAAGAGAAAGAAATGACTAGTATTCGGATACCCCCCCCTCTCCTTTCAGCTCCCGGGGGACCTTATGCCTTTTACGTGTGTTGAACGGGTATGTCAGCTAGTTAATCTTAAAAAGCGAAATTCAAACAGTCAAACAGTTTATGTAAACTTGAGATTCACAATAGAGGTGTAACTGTTATTTTTGGTGAGAAAAACTTCTTTACGGGGATTTTTTCTCCCTTTTGTTCCACTGGGAACAATTGAAATCTAAAAAAACGTTTCGTTTAGCAGCGTGAACTAAAGCACTGGCTCTTGGGCTCGTCCTACTGTTAAAACTAAAAAGCAGTTCATGTATGTATACATGTGACAAACGTGTAATCATACAGAATTCTGGTCCTCTTGGTGGAAATAGAAAGAGCATGTGCATAAATCACAAATGAAAAGTCATAAGTTGGTTCCAATAAATAAATCTACTAGACGGTTAAGAATATGTTTGTCTAAGGTTGTGAAACAAGATAACAGAGAAAGCTGACCTCGGTTAACATGCTGATATATGTTACACGAACTTTTGTTTCAGCTAGTCTATAATTACTCAAATCTTTAAACTTTAAATATAAACTTTATATATATAATGTAGACTATCGCGCATGTGTGACACCTGTGTATGTATGATGGATTGGTTATTCCTAACATGTTGTCCGGCATGGCCAGGTGGTTAGGGCCCTCGACTCACAAACTGAGGGTCGCGGGTTCGAATCACCAAACCAGCCGTGGGGGCATTATATGTGACGGTCAATCCCAATATTCGTTGGTAAAACAGTAGACCAAGAGTTGGCGGTGGGTGGTGATGACTAGCTGCCTTCCTAGAGTCTTACACTATTAAATTAGGGAGAGCTAGCGCAGATAGCCCTCGTGTAGCTTTGCGCGAAATTCAAAACAAACAAACAAACCTAACATGTTTAAGTTATAGAATTTAAATTATATCTGATTTTAAATTTAATTTTTTAACGTACTTTTGTAAAGTTAGCGTTTAGTTAGTAAAAATAATTTAAAACGCAAAAAAAAGAATAAATAAAACATAAATAAACTTTTCGATATAACTCAATACAAGAATCCCATTTATTATCTTAACTCTTCGGTAAAATAATTTAGTTATTCTTGTGGCCTTATTATCTCATTGCTATTACAGTTTTTCATTTAAAAAAACAGGTGTTCAAAATGTAGCTAAGTGTAATATATCTAAAAGCTGTTACCTAAAGATTTTCTTACTTTTTTTGGCTCTCCAGAAATCTGTCAAATTCTACTGACATCTTGCAACAAAGGCCTTTCCTACGAAACACAACGTTACAAACACGCTACAGTAGTGTTAGTTTTATAGATTTATCAACATTACAACAGTAGTGTTAGTTTTATAGATTTATCAACATTACAACAGTAGTGTTAGTTTTATAGATTTATCAACATTACACAGTAGTGTTAGTTTTATAGATTTATCAACATTACAAACACGCTACAGTAGTGTTAGTTTTATAGATTTATCAACATTACAAATACGCTACAGTAGTGTTAGTTTTATAGATTTATCAATATTACAAATACGCTACACTAGTGTTAATTTTATATATTATCAACATTACAAACACACTGCAGTAAAGTTTTATGGATTTATGGACATTACAAACATGCTACAGTAGTGTTAGTTTTAGAGATTTATCAACATTACAAATACGTTACAGTAGTATTAGGAGTATAGATTTATCAACATTACAAACACGCTACAGTAGTGTTAGTTTTATAGATTTATGAATATTACAAACACGCTACAGTAGTGTTAGTTTTATAGATTTATGAATATTACAAACACGCTACAGTAGTGTTAGTTTTATAGATTTATGAATATTACAAACACGCTACAGTAGTATTAGTTTTATAGATTCATCAACATTACAAACACACGACAGTAGTGTTAGTTCGCCTTTCCTGTAAAACACAAACAACACTATAAACATGCTACAATAGTGTTAGTTTTATTGATTTATCATGGAAACAAATGATCATTAAAGACTATTCGTTGAACTAACAATAACACGGTTACAAGTTTGGAGTAATTAGGAAAATCAAATGATCGTTCTTCATCAAATCTTACATCTGAAAAACATAAGTAAAAGTGTGTAAAGAGGTTTAGGAGGTTTATGGTTAAACAAGAACACATTCTGTTAGATTTAGTATCGATCAAAGTTACGGTCTCGTCTTGTTTGTCGATCGAAATGAATAAACATTCGAAAGAAAAACCATTGTTCATGTGAGAATTTGCCATAATTATGGTCACAAAATATTTTCAATGTTATATTAAGCTAGCAACTGGAGTCTCCTTTTTTATTTACCTTCTGCTATAATACGATGTCTTGAAACTCACCTGTTGTGAGAAGAAGAGCAATTCGTATTGATAAGGTGGCCACCTAGAGGGAGATTGAAAAACAAATATGCATGAATGTATTTGTATGGTTTAATCTAAATACACATATACATCTAACCTATATAAAAGTCAGTGTGTGTCACGTCATGCTTAATTTCTCTAAATGGGAGTCATAAAATCCAAAATGCATTTATCCAGAAAGAATAGTTCGATGACTATCTGCCCATTACGATTTTAGTAACAAGGGTGCCGTGAGGGGTGTGTGCTGTGCCATGAAACCTTATAAGTGTAGTGAGTGTTGGTATAAGCCTAAAGTAAAGACGTAGTGTGGGATCACCTAGCCTAGAGCCAAGTGCACAACATTTATCATGAAAGTAAAAATATCAATTCAATTTTAAACTTAAATCGTTTCTGAATTAATCTATTTTCTGTTATATCATAAACGTTTTAAATAAAAACAAACTTCTTTAATCAACGGAGACTCT